ACTTCAAATTGCACGGCGCACGTGACTGGTGTGCTGATTTGTTGATACAAGAGGACCTGAGGTCACCATTGTAGTTTAGTGAGCTGGCCCTGTGGGGCGTGGGGGAACCAGGAGGGCTGGGGGCAGAGTGGTGAAGGAAAAGAAGGGGTCAGGGAGCTGGTGCAGCAGGGTTGTGGATTCATGGGGGCTGGGGAAGGGATAGAGGTAGTGAGGGGGTTGGGTTTATTTGGACAGGATGTCCTGGTAGTCGGAGAAATTAAATCTAATCCTACAGTCAAAGTGTCAAATGTCTGGTTAACACAAAGGAATCTACTGGGCTGGAAACGGCATAGATTTAAGCACAGCTGGTAACATCAGCTTTCTGGGTCATTTCTTCTCTGCTAGAGGACTCTGGGGGGGGGGGGGAGTGAGATACTCCCTAGGGAAAAAACAAACAAACCTTGAAAGCAACAATTTTTAGTTCTTTTATTAGCAACATTCCCACACTTCAAATGATAAAAAACCCAAAATTCCTTCTTTACCCAAAACTCCTTTTACAGTTTCTCTTTAATTTACACACCAATAGTAGACAGCCCATCACCATTATTTCCACTGTCAAAATAAATCTGTAGTACATCCTTAGTGATCACAATGGTATCACACCTGAGAGCAGGCATACAAGATGGTTTTAACAACATGCAGTGTATACAGCACATAGCAACTTCTGCAGTGCAGGTTGCTTGCCAAACGACCATCAGAGGAAAGTGGGAAGAGGTAACACTACAGACTAGATGGCATCAGAGTAAATGGTGACGAAAGAACTTTTGTTTCTAAAGATTTTTCCATTGCTCCACAAAGTGAGGAATGTGAGCGAGCAATTTCTAAATGAAGATATTGAGGAATTCTGTTGTAGCATTAATAAGGAAACCAGAGGCAGCCAGTCTAGTTAGTCCTAGGTTACCAACACTATAAGAAATGGGCCTTTATACGGAATAATGACCAACGGGGACACAAGAGCATCAAGGATTGGAAAGAGGCAGCTAAAGCATCCACTATAGATAACCTCTAGAAGAGAGCAGAGGATAGAAACAAGGCAGTAGACTGTCAGGCTGTGTAATCAACACTAGGAGGCAGAAGACTGGAAGAAATGAGGAAGGGTCAGGAATATTGACCAATAGATTTCAGAACAGGACAAAGTAATGTGGAGAGGTCAGTGATGCGGCAAGATGTCCAATAGAGGGCAGCATATTCTAAGCAGGGGAAATGGGCAACTATTTTCTGAAATGCCCACTAGATGGCAGCAGATATAGAGTTTTTATTATTTATTATAGGGGCATGTGACGGGGTGAACTCACCCTGCCCTGGACAGGAAAAGGTTAACTCCTCCTTGTGGGCTAAGGAAGCCCTGCCCCCACATCCTTACTGGGCATGCCCCAAGTGTAGTACCAGTATAAGAGTGAGCAGCTCAGTCTGGGCTGACCACCGGAGAGAAAGGACGTCTGTTACAGGCTCCAGATTCAGAGCAGTGGCAGCCCCTGACTACAGAAGCTAGAGGCACTGAGACCCTGGCAGATGCCCTGATATCTGTGGACACCCCCGGGACTTCAGAGCCACCGGGAACAGCCCAGGCAGAGGAACCCCGTAACCCCGAAGCCGCCTATACCACAGACATAGAAGTCACGGTAGGAAGCAGCCCACGGGAGGGAGTAGCCATAATCCCAAGTGTAGTCAGCGTGTTGCAGCTGAATCCACGCTGACTCAGTGACGAACTCACTCGCTGCTGCCAGGGCCCAGCTCCCCCTACTCTGGCCACCACCCACCTCCCAGGTTGTGACCTATTGCCCTGCGAACCAGGGTAGCCTTATTGACTCCTGCCACTAGGCCTCATTGCCCTGCGAACCAGGGTAACCCTATTGTCTCCAGCCACTAGGCCTCCTTGCCCTGAGAATCAGGGTAACTAGTCCTTAGGTCTCACTGCCTTGAGGTAAAGGACAGCTTGAAGGATGGGGTGAACTCATCTCACACTGGACGGGTATCCGATCATAGGCCAGTACCTTATAACAGACCATCACCTTGGACAGGTATCTCTGAAAATTTTAAACTAATGTTTTGCTATGTGAAGTATATTCCCCTGTGGGATTTTTTTCTTCGTGTTATAAGGAACCAATAAGTCACATTGTGCAATGTGGACAAAAAAGCTTTGGAGACACAAAGTTAGTCAGCTGTGAGATAGACTGAAGTCGGAACCTTATGAAAATGTTCAAACAACATCACCATAAAAACAAACAAATGAAAACAAACCCTAAAATGTGTTAGGAATTTTCCCAATCTATTTTGCAATCAAACTATAAATAAATGAATAAATAAAAATAAAGTGGTTTGTTACCCAAAGGCTGAAACAATAATTTTATTTGGGTTCATATGAGAACTTTGGTAAAAGAAATAAGAACTTGATACATGCATACCAACCTCTGGAAAGCAGGTGTATAGAGAATTGTGTAATGCAGAAACAGAACGGATCTATAGACAATATCAAAATAATTTAAGGAACTGTGGGAGTGGACTGCCCTCTAGTGAATGGAGCTAGACCTGTTCTGCTACTATCTAATTCAAGTATTTCAGAACTCAGATACTCAGACAAAGCATAGACCAGATACTGGTCTATGCTTTGAGCAGAATGACCCCAGATTTCCCTATTCGGTTTCCATAGGAACATAGGAATTGCCAGACCAAATCAGACACTAGGTTCATCTAGGTCAGTATCCTGTCAGACAGTGGCCAGACCCAGATGTGTAAGAGGAAGGTGGAAGAACCCCACAGGAGGTGGATGTGGGATAACCTGCCCTGCCCCCCATATAGCTCTCACCTTGAGCTCTAACACTTGGAGATTAGCTTAAACCCTGAAGCAGGAGGTTTAACATCCCGTCCGGAATTCTGGTTGCCATTCATTACGAGAACTCTGGACATGACTGATATCCATGTAAATATGCAACCTATGACATTCCAACTTGTGATGCCTTGCAGCGTAGTAATGACCATGATGTGCCCACTGGTTAGTTACCTTGGAACAAACCCGCAGCAGTGACTTACAGCTGCTTTTCACCACCTCCAATATTTCCACTTAGGACGCCAGTTTGAATACTTCGTCCTGTGCCATATCTAGAGTCAGTAAGACCAGGGATAGGGGAGATTAGTCAGGTGGCCTACAGATGTCCAGGTTCCATTTTGTAACCAGGGAGGGGCTCAGAAGAGCTGAATATAAAAGGACCCATTGATAAAAAAACCCTTTCCAACTACCATCCCTGCAATCTCTCTGGCACTATTACAGTTACAGATTTTAGAACTCCTCATGAAGCTTGGGATGAACATTGGCCACAGCAAAGATCATAACACCTAAGAAGTTTACTTTAAAATAGGGTTTCACCAAAAATTCAGCCCTGTGCATAACCCTAGTAGTCCAGCATTCTCAGTCCTGGGGCATTTCCTTTCCCGTTTCAAATGATTTATTTTCTGCTCCTTCAGGAGAGGCAGGAATCTCTCAGAAATGAGAATCCAATACACAGAATGGTCAGGCAAGTAACAGGGCACGTCCCAGGAACAACACTGGAACCATAGAGAAGCTATTTCAGTAGCTATCCGGATACAGCCCAGAGGGCTGTTGCATCAAAAATGCATGAACAGTTAATTCATGATGCAAAAGCGTGAGAGAGAAGCACAGCGACACGCGTCAGAGAGGTCACACAGAAGTACCCTGCCTTGCCCAGCTCCCACCAGCTGGTGATGACCCAGCTTTCATCCTTAGTGTCCTGGGCTGAAAGTATTTTGTGGGGAAAGGTCCTTGCACCCTAGTCCTGCTCCTGCCATATGGGCTGAGATCCCTGAGAGGAGGATTCCCAGCCTGTTTGTGGCCACCTCTGTTCCAGGACTGGTGTATATAGTGTAAAAATAAACAACTTCACTAGGAAATTACCCAAACTCCCCATCACTGGATTCTCCTCCAGTGAGAAACCAACCTACACAACGTTGAGTTCTGCCCCCGCTCAGTGGAAGAGTCAGAGTATTGCTAAAGATATATTTGTAATTAACAACAAATTTCCTTGGGAGAAATATTTCCATTGGGGGTGGGTGGGTGAGTGTGAGTGTGAGATTTCCTTCCAGCCAAATCTCTTGTTTGCAAACTATGGATGAAATTTACTTTACATTCAGTTTCCAGTGCACTTGTGAAACTGCTCGGCTTCAACGCCCAATGCAGCAGACCTGACTCAGCTTAGCCATTGTTATCCTGGGAGTGGTTCCAACGACAGCAGTTGGACACCTGACATGAGCCAAGATTACTGAGCAGAGTCACTCTCTGTAGGGCCATGCACTCCATGGGTGCGGCGTTACAGTTCAGCCATGCACAGCAATGACCTCAGACAGCAGGGAGCAGACAGATGATTCTTCTGGGCATGGGAGGCTGGTTGCATCAGGACAGTTGTTTGTATTGTCTGCACAGAAAACTCAGCACTAACTCCCCAGGCTCAGCCCCTTTGGAGGTGGAATCAGGGGAAATGCAGCCTGCCGTGGAGAAGGATACAAATATGAGGTGACCTCTGGACTGTTTAAACAGAGGGGGAAGAGCATGTTCTAACATAGATGACAGCAGTTGTTTGTCCCTTCAGGTAGATGCACATGTCTTTGCTGAGAAGATCCAGTTTCTATCAAATGATGACATCCAAGAACTTCCGTGGTGGAAACAGACACCAGGCTGCCAAACACTGAGAAAGAAGAGTTCATTGCTTGAAGCTTCAGCCATCCTCTGGTTACAGGTGAACCCCCTCTTCCTGACTGCATTTCTATACCACCTTCCAAACTGAAGCATGAAGGTGCTTTGTGAATATTTCATGCAGCCTCATTGTAGCAAGTTATAGATATTGCAGAGGGGTGAAGATTGAGATTTTCAAAGCCACCTAGGAACTGGGTGTCCTGTTTTCCTATTCAGGAGAGTATTAATGTTTAGGTCCCATAGATAATTTGACAACCTAAATGATTTCTTTGTATTGATCTGCACCAAAAAGTGTTACAAAGTCACCTAAGCCAGGTCAACGTTTTCCAGGTAACAGCCTGACAGAGGCTGAAGTACCAAAATAGTCGGTTCTGGAACAAATTGGAATGTTGGGTTTCTCTATCACTTGAGAGAACATGGTAATGCAGTAATTGCCAGACTAGATCAGACCCAAGGGCAATCCTGTCCAGTGTCTTTCTCCAAGAGTCGTCAGCACTAGATGTTTCACAGGCAAATTTAAGTACACTGCAGCAGCAGTTGTGGGGTAATCTCCCCCCACCACACACACACGTCATGTTGGTCTATAATAGTTAGACATTGGCTGAACCCCCAGAACATGAGGTTTAATATCCATTCCAAAACTATTGTTGCCATTAATCATGGTAACTCTGGGTATTTATATGGCCAGCAGGAATATCTAATCTATTCTGGAATCTAGTTAAGCCCTTCATCTCAATGACTTCCCTGAGCAATGAGTATGATGCTTCCAGTCTTGGTGCAGGAATGGGGTTGCCAACCTCAGGACAGACAGTTAAAACCCAGGGCACAACCTCTTATTGGTTGTGAGTTCTCAGCTTAGATTGCACCAAGCCACTGCCCAGAGTGTAAACATGTTAGGCACTTAAGCAGTCTTGACAGAGTCACCGACAGTCCAGCAGAGAAACGGGACAATAATTTATTGATAAGTCCGATCTTTACTGTTGAAGCTAGAGAGGCTTTGCAACCATTTGTAAAATTAGTGCCTCGGCTACTGATAGGGTTATGGTTAATGATTTATGGGGCCTTTTACATTTGGATTCTCATATTACAAAAAAACCCCAAAAAACAACAACAAAAAACCCTTTGGTTTTCAAATATGCAAATCCCAGGATATTTTTAAAGGAAAACAGGACTATTTTAATTCCAAAGGTTCAGGATCCTGAAAAGTTAGCTAAACTCTCTTCTTGGAGATCTTTAACTATAGGATTTGTGTGGATTAGATAATAATATTTTAGCTAAATGATTCACTAGTGCAATTAAAATGTGTCATAGACAAAGGTTTTCTCTCCGGTCCTGGATGTGAAGAGAACGTATCCATTCTGGACAACTTGATTAAGGGAGTTAAGCAGAATGGAGATGAAATTGCTGTTGTGCCCATTGATTTGGCAAACGCATTTGAATCAATGCGGTGGGCTTGGCAGAATCAGTGGGGAAAGAAGACCCTGTTGAGCTTGATTCTAGTGGGACACTGAAGAGACATGATAGATATAGAATAAGTGGGAGGCATCCAGGCTGCCGATAAAATACCACTACCGTTATAAGTTTTTTCACTTACCTGGTGAGGCACTTTCCCTGCTGATTCTGCCAAGCCCATTCCCTTGGCTGTGGTTTCGCTAGATTGTACGTAGGAACAGTGGGAATCTCATTCACCCATTCATGCGCATCACTAATTAGATAATGAGGCATTTGGCTACATTTGTGCAGGTGTTGGGATATACACACATACACAATATACATACACACACACAATTATGATTCATATATCCATTTAATATATTATAGGTCATCGAGGCCTGGTATGATAGATGCGTGCCTGACATGAATGTGTGTGTTGCAAGTTAGCAACCGAAGCAAGGACTTAAGATCAAGGACTATTAGAACTCTATGTGCAAAAAAAAACAAAAAACACACACACACAATCTTATGCTCCAAGAAAAATACAGAAAATCATCAGAAAAGGAAATAACACCAGCTGAACTGATATAAATTTTTATAAGAATTGGAGGAAATGGCACGCCTTGGATCATGGCAGCACAACCAGGATTGTCGCTTTGAAATTGTGTGCCTAGTAAACAAAGGCAAAGAACCAATGATGCGACAGAATGGACTATAAATGGGTGCCTATGATTTCTGAAAAAAATCAACCTTTTATTGATCCAGAGCCCCGTGTGGATATAGATGTGGTGCTCAGCACCCACCAATTTTTCCCCGTGAGTGCTCCAGCCCTGGAGCACCCACGGAGTCAGCGCTTATGCATCCAAGTCTGATAAAAATAATTTTAAATGGATTATTAAACCTAGGTAATATGTATTTATTAAAATGTTAAAACCAATCTATATATTTCAAAGGACAGGTAAAATAGTAGCCATTAGAAACAATAGCACAAACTACTAACGTCTCATAAAATTTAAGATATGGAGAAACTAAAGAGACATAATGAGGAATAGTAGGATGCACAGAATGGGTTTCTGGGATCACTACTTATCACTAAATAGGGCCGGCATATCAGCGGTGGCATACAATGCAAGCCTACAATGATTTTCCTTAAAATGCTTGCTTTTTCCCATTCCCACAGGCTTCGGTAACACATCACTACCCTCGCTTTGTTTACCCCATGACCCAATTATGAACCCAGAGAAGTGTATGACCTTGCCTCCAGAGATCTTCTTAATTTCCTCTTCCAGCTCAGAGTAGTACTCCATCTTATCCCTGTGGGCTACCTCCAAACTACCAGCCTTGTCTTCCCGATGGACTGTGGCATCCACTACAGCAACTATACTGGTCTTCTACAGCAATTACATCTGGCTTCTGTACATTTTTTCTTTATTTCAAGGGTGTGTCTCTACTAATGCCCTCCATCCTAATTTACTGGCTTTGTCAATCAAAGCTTTCAATATTCTATTGTGTCTTCCAATATGGTCCTCTGTAGTCTTAAAGCATTGACCAGATATATTTGGGACTGTTTCCCTAACCTTACCGCACCATTCACACAATGCATTAACCTTCACTCTTCCTTTAGTGAATGTCTCCCGGTGGGGTGTAGAGTCACTCATCTGCAGTGTTGTGATAAAGGACGACTTGGCCAAAGAAGGGTGCTTTAAAAATGAATGACTAATATTCTTAAAATAACTAAACACCCCCACCCCCTGACACTTCAAATTCCTCCACCTAGTAAATGTTTCATCCATCTATGATTTGGGATTAGGTGTAGCAGCACTGTACACTAAAATCTTATTCACCAGATTCTCTCTGGCATATATCAAGAATAACTAACCATTCATCCCTTGATACATTATGCCACCTCCACTTTTGAATTAACATATTTGGGATTTGTACACTACATTTTGTCATCGCTAATCCCCCATCTCTAACTCTAGCATAAACTCTGGCATGGATACCAGTGTTCTGTTCTCAGACTGAAACTCCTGGCACTTTGCTCTGAAGTCTACATTTAGCCTTAACATTTCAGCCTCTAACCAGCAGAAGGGGATTTTCTGAATATTTATGAAATTAATTCACGAGACATGGTTAACTTAACTCTGTGTTCTTCCAATTCAATGGCAGTTTTTTTTAATTGTTCCCAGAGACTCAACCAATGGCTGACACAGACTGGAGAAATCAAACAGTCATCATGGAATTCACCCTCCTGGGATTTGGGGATCTCCCTGACCTGCACATTCTTCTGTTCCTGCTCTTCCTAGTAATCTACATTGCGACCATGGCTGGAAACATCCTCATTGTGGTGCTTGTTGTGGCTGATCAGCACCTTCACATCCCCATGTACATCTTCCTGGGGAGCTTCTCCTGCTTGGAGACCTGCTACACCTCCACCATCCTGCCCAGGGTGCTAGCCAGTTTCCTGACTGGAGACAGAACCATCTCAGTCAGTGGCTGCCTTACACAACTATATTTCTCTGGTTCTCTGGCATGTATGGAATGTTATCTCCTAGCGGCGATGTCTTATGATCGGTATTTAGCGATATGTAAACCCCTGCACTATTCAGCTCTGATGAATACTAGGGTTTGCCTCCAATTGGTTACTGGTTCATGGTTCAATGGTTTTTTGGCTATTACCATCTTTGTCTTATTTATATCACAGTTAATATTCTGTGGCCCAAATAAAATTGACCATTTTTATTGTGAATCCACCCCATTGATAAAACTCTCCTGCGGAGACACATACTTGATCATATTGCTGGATTTCATACTAGCCTGTGTATTCACCCTGCCTCCATTCCTACTAACCCTGATGTCCTACATCTGCATTATCGCCACCATCCTGAGAATCCCTTCCACCACAGGGAGGCAGAAGGCCTTTTCCACCTGCTCCTCTCACCTCACTGTGGTGACCATTTTCTATGGAACCATAATCATTGTGTACATGTTACTGAAACACGATACACTGAGAGACCTGAACAAAGTGTTCTCTCTTTGTTACACAGTCCTGACTCCCCTGGTAAATCCCCTCATCTACAGCCTGAGAAACAGAGAGGTCAAGGAAGCCTTGAGCAAAGCAGTCAGTAAATATGTTATTTTCACAAATATAGGCAGAGACTCCTAGATAATAACTTAGCCTGAGGTTTTCCAAGCTGCCTGGGTGATTTAAACAATCAGCCTCCAATAAAACTAAGTTGAAAACCTCCATTGAAAAATCTCACTTGGTGCTGTCCATTTAAGTGGAAAGACCTGGGAGGTAGGAGGCCGTAACCATGTTCCCATCATGGAGTTTTTAACTGGGCATCAGGTGGAGTGGAGATACAATTTTAACCAATTTTTTATATAATTGGTTAAATATAATATATTATTTTTATATTTAAAAAGCCATTTTTGACCAAAATAAATGTTTGGACAATAAAAATACTAACTCTTGGTGCAGCATAGATGGGGACGTAAACCTGGGAAATCTGCCACCCCGGAAATTGTGCTTATTGCCATCATAGCCCTCTGCAAACCAACCACCTTCTTTGCTCGCACACAGGCTGGGCACAAATGGCCAGGCCCCAGTGGTGACCTCTAGACACTTCCCCAGGAACATCTTCACAGCTCTTATCTGGGCTATGCCTGGCTGGGACCAACTCCGGCAAAGCAGCAGCCCCAGGCTCACTGAGCTGAGGGAGGCGGGAAGGTTGGGCAAACGAATAGGTGGATTCACAAGCCAGGGGCACTAGGACTGTCCAGACCCAGCTGGGAGTTTGCCAGGACACACAGAACTGAGGCTGTTCCTGGGGTCGGGTCTGTCA